GGGGGGGGGGGGGACCTGGCCTGCTCCCTTGCTATTCTTCTGCCATCAGCACAGTTTACATCTGTCAAGATAAATGGCCTCCTGCCCTCGCCCTGTTTCCATGGGGCCGGGGGTGTCGGGGCAGCCAGGGGCTGACGGCTGGGATGGATGTTTGTGTTTCTGGCCGGATCTCAGCAGCTGCGTACGCCAGGCCAGCGCTCCCCCCCCCCCCCCCCCTGGATGAACTGGTGCCAGGGCACAAGGGCAGAGGGCAGCCAGTGACCTGGGCAGGGGATTCCTGGGAGACCAGGGGCCTGCATTGTGGGATTGAGGGGCACTGTGGGGGGGGGAGCCCAAGGCTGGGCTGGCAGCAGGTCAGGAGTGAGGAGCACCAGCAGAGCTGGGGGAGGGGAAGCTGGGGGCAGCAGGGGGCTGTGGGTCAGAATTGAGAGGCACCGGCAGAGCTGGGGGGGCTCAGCAGAGGCCATGGGGTTGGTCTGAGGCCCTGGCCGTGGGGCGATGGGAGCGGCCTGGGGGGTGACTGAGAATGACAAGCCCTGGCCTGTCACCCCTCCCCCACACCTGGATCTCAGGGGCCCCTCTCCCAAGCCTGTCCTAGGTCCTGCCCCCTGCGGCCCCCCCTCCTGCTGGGGGCTCCCCATGCCTGGGCCCTGCCGTTGCCCCCTCCCTCTGGGGCTCCCCAGAGCCCTACCCCGCTTGGACACTGGCAAAGACCAGGTAGTAAGAGCGCTGTTGTCCCCTTCCCCGATTGGCCCCAGCCCCCCAGGTCCCAGGCGTGTGGGAAACACCGCGGGCCCCCCCAGGCAGGGCTGGCAGCAGCGGCTGATGACTTTCCCAGCTTCGCTCCCCTCACACACAGGAATTTCCTTCCTCCAAGCCCCGGCTGGACTCCACCGGCTTCCCTGGAGTGAGCCAGGGGTGGGGGGGAGCTGGGGCAGGGGGGCCCTGCAGGGTGTGGGAGGGGGCACCTTGTCCCAGATTCCCCCTCGGTTGGGGGGGGGCAGATCTATGTTGCCCCCGGGCGGTGGGAAGAGCCGAGCCCCCTGCCCTGCTGCCGGAGTGGCCAGGGACAGATTGTTCCTGGAAAACACAGCCAACTTGGCCAGGATGTGCCGCATGGTGGAGCGGTTCCGGCGGGGCAAGGCTGGGACAAAGGGTCACACGGTGCGTGTGAGCCGGGGCCGGGCAGGGACCATGTGGGAGACACAGACTCACCTGTGCCAGGCACTGTCCAAGGCACCGGCAGGGAACCCGCTGCCCTAGCACCAGCCCCGGCTCCATGGCCAACTTTTGTGCCATGCCTTGGCCTGGAGAATGAGCTGCCCCAAAGGGGTCAGTGCTTGGGAAGTGGGGAGGGAAAGAGCCCCTCCCTCCCCGCTCAGCCCAGCCACCCCACCAGCAGCCCCTGGGGCGCCCGGCTGGGCAAGGCCCCGATCGGTGCAGACGGCCCCACACACCCGAGAGCAGCCTTTAAATTAATGTTTATTCCTTATCATACAGTTACAGACTGAACTCGAGCCCTGGGTGAGCCAGACCCCACCCCACCACCGGGCAGCCTGGGGAGGGGGGCTATGCAGAGGGCCCCCACTGGGTGAAATGAGCCCCTTCCTGCCCTGGGCCTATGCTGTGGGGGCGTGGGGGTGGGCACCACACCTGGTTCCAGCGCCCAGGGCTCTGGCACAGACCCAGTTGCAGCTGCTGCCCAGCGCTCAGGGGGTCAGTGGTGGCTGGATCCTCTGGGGGGCTGGCAAGTCACAGCCAGGAGGGGCCCTGGGGGTATGGCGTTACCCCACGGGTGGGCACTGGGAGGTGGGGCAGCCGGAGGGGAGCAGGGCAGAAGGGCTGCCAGCCCCAGGGGGAGGTGGCATGGCCAGCAGACACAAAGGGTCAAGCACCCCCCCAGCATGTCCCACCCACAGGCCTGGCCTTGCCCCAGCAGCTGCAGCCCCACGCGAAGGGCCCAAGTGCATCTCTGGGGAGGGCTGCCATAAATGAACATCCGAAACCCCCTGCTCGGGGGCAGCGCTGGGCACCAGTGTGAGTTCAGGACCGAAGCGCTGGGGCCTGAGGGGGGCTCACAGGCAGCGGGGCTGGATGCCTGTGTCCCGGCCTCACCCACCCGGCTGTCGGGACCGGGTCTTTGGGTGCAGGCTGGGTGACGTGGCCTGGGGCCAGCAGGATACAGGGAGCTGCCCACTGGCGCAAGGCGCCTGGCCTGGCGCAGCTCAGGGGCTGGGTCCTGGAGAGGCTCGGCTCACACCTGGATGTCCGCCTCATGCTCGCTGGCCTGGGGCTGGCATGTGTCAGGCGCGGGGCCCAGGCACCCCCAGCGCAGCCAGCCCAGGCAGGCGAGGTGCGCGGGCGGCAGGCGTGGCAGGGCCCCGCTGAAGCAGCGCACCTCACGGGCGGCGGCGATGTCCGAGAAGAAGGGCCGCTCCTGGCACCGTGGAACCTCGCCCTTGCTCAGCTCCAGGTCTTTCACCACAGCCAAGATCTCCTGGCGCTGCGTCTGGCTCCGCAGGCCCCGCACGTCCAGCAGGGCCGCCACATGCTTCTTCCTGCCGAGACAAGGAGAGGGTGCTCAGAACAGCCCCCCACGGCACTAGGCAGAGCCATGCCACGTCCACCCACGCCAGTGGGCACACGGCTACGGGGCAGAGCCTGCAGCCAGGGCACCGCCCAGAGAGCCGGAGATGGGAGACGCCAGGCCAGCTCCCTGGGGAAACCTGGGAACAAGCTCTTGACCCAGCCCAGAGAGGGGGCAACTCCTCAGACAGGCCACAAGGGGGCGCAGTCCCCCCATAGCCCAGCCAAGGGTTCAGGGAAGGACCCAACGTGAGTGGGGCTGGGGATGCAGCTGCCTTCTGCCATGGGGCAGTGAGGGGAGCACCCCTCCCTTGGCAACCGTGCCGCACCTGGGCAGAGGCACTGACTGAGGGGAGCCGCAGAGCGGGGGGGGGGAGGCATTCACCAGAAATAAATGGAGTCACCTCCCTAGCAGTGTCAGCCTGGTGCCCGCCAGGTCCCCCCATCAGCACCCCCTGGCGGTGTAGCCTGGTGCCCGCCGGGTCCCCTCCCCATCAGCACCCCCTGGCAGTGTCAGCCTGGTGCCCACTGGGAGTCCCCCCCCCATCAGCACCCCCTGGCGGTGTCAGCCCAGTGCCCCCCAGGCCCCTCCCCGCACACACACACGCTGTGCGAGGGCGGCTGGCCGCACTGCAGGGCAGGAGTTTATTTAAAGCTCCTGCCGGCATTTTCAGGATGTTGGCGGAGCGCCTGTGTAATCAGCAAGGTCCCGGCCCCCCCTCCAGGCACACGTTGCTCCCGGGCAGCTCCTGCAGGCGGGGGGGGGGGGGGGGGGGGGGGGGGGGAGAGAGGCAGTTTGGTGCGCCTGCTCGTGCCCGGCCCGGAGCTGGTTCTGGGGGACGGCCCCGCTGGTGTCAGCTCTGGCTCCCACAACTGCTCTGGGGCCCTGCCGTGAGCCAGCGGCCGTCCCAGAGCCCGGCGCAGCCGCCAGCTCAACACTTCCTTCCTTGGGGGCTTCCGCCACGGCGCTGAGCCGGGGGGCCGCGACCTGTGAATCCCACTGCTGGGAAGACGCAGCCGGCTGGCAGGGGGCTGGTTTAGGGGGATCTCTCCAGAGGCAGGTGTCCCAGATCCATTCTCAGGGCAGCGCAGTCCAGCCCCTGGCAATGCCAGGCCAGGGGGTGGGGGGGGTTGTGTGGTGCTGGGAGGGGATGGGGTGGAGGGCAGGGTGGGTTGCATGGGGGTGGGGGGTTATACATGTCTGACCCCCCACACACACACTGAAGGTCTCTTCCGGAGCAGCCCTCCACCCCTGGCCCCTTTCCATGGGTGTCCACAACCGCGAACTGCCCCACGATGGCAGCCAGGGGAAGTCACTCCCGGGCCCCTTCCTGTCTGAGCCCAGCCGCTTGTTTTTCTCCTCCAGCCCCGTCTTCAGCCACCCCTGCTCGCCGCCCCGCCCTGGCCGGCTGCAGGAAACGGCTCGCAGCCACGCTTCGCAGGCGATCCGTCGCCTCCCAGCCCTGCGCCCGGATGCAATCAGCGGAAGATGGAAAGAGGAGCCGCGCCAGGAGCACGATAACCCCCCTTCGCCCCAAGAGTGACGCAGGCGGCCGTGGCAGAGCCCAGCGCCGGGCAGTGCCGCGGACGGGGGCATTTTTATCTCCCCTGGTCCTGGGAAGCGGGTTGTGACTCCGGGTTCCAGGAAAGCGCTGCTGGGAGCGTGGAGCAAGGGGAGGTGTCCCACGCCCAGATCAGCCTCCTAATTCTGGCCGCAGCGCCGCGGGCCGCGCTGGGGGGGCTGCGTTCTGGCAGCGGCTGGGATCAGCCGGTGAGCTGGCAAGGACGTGCTGCGGGTGCCGCTGCTCCGGATCAAGGCCTGGCTCCCGGCCGGCGAGCGCTCTGCGGCTGGGACAGTCCCTGGTTTCGCACCCATGCGGCACCCGGCACGCTGGGGCCTGTGCAGGTCCATGCTGCTCCTCTGTTCCAGACAGGGACTTGTCCCCACCCCATCAGGCCTGCTCCTCTCGGTCCTCGGAGCACACCAAGGCCAATTCACCGGTGCCCTGCTCCTTGGCACCAGCGTGTGCCACATGGGGGCATCCCCTAGCCTTCCCTACATGGTGGGAGCAGCGACCCAGGGCAGCAGGCAGAGTCCCTGGAGCACGGCAGGGAGGCCAGCTGGGGCCCCTGGGAAGCAGATTGCCAAAGGCCTGGCCTGCCTGAGCCTGGTGCCAGGGGGAGGGCTGGCTGAGCAGGGCATTGGCACGTCAGCACCACCTGCACCCACCGTGCTGCCAGTGTGTGTCACTGCTGCCCCCTGCTGGAGAGGGCGTGTGCGTCAGGGTCAAACACAACAGCCGCCAGGGCCAGAATCCGACCCCTGAGGGGCCAAGCAGCCGGAGATCCCTGCAGGGGGCTGCCGGCAGTCAGCTCCGCTGGCGCGTGGGAAGCAGCTGGGGGGGGGGGTCGCCCCAGAGGGCATCTCTGGGGGGCATGTGGAACATTTGCCCCTGTCTCAAGCAGAGGCCCCGGCTGTGCTGGCAAAACCATTTGCCCTTTTCCCAGCTGGTCACAACGGCGAGTTCACGCCTGTGTCCGCCCTGGAGCCATCTGTCCCTGTCAATCTTCTGGCTCAGCTGGGGTGACCTGTGGAACTCTCTGCCACAGGAGGCGTGCGGTCACACGCTGGGCCTGGCCTTCCCAAGATCTGCCTGATTTCAGGGCCAGGAGCCAACCCCCAGCGCGGGAGGGCGAAGAACCGTGGACCTGCATCGCACCCCTGGCTAGGTGCATTATGGGAGCTCACCGTCCCTAAGAGCACCAGATACAGGAGTCGCATGCTGCTCTGAACCCACCTGCTGTCCGGCAGAGCATGGCCCAGCGCCCCCTACAGGAGAGGTCCCAGCGGGGGGGCTCGGGGTTCATGAGCACCCAGGGGAGCTGGGAGCCACCAGTACTGCCCCAGGGCAAAGTGCATTCAAGTGATGGGTGGCCCCTCCCCAGCACCCTCAGAGTCCCTCTCCAGTGGCAGTACTCATCTGGCTCCCCCGGGGCCTTGCCTGGGGCCACGCGGCTGCCACAGCTCAAGCCAGCCCTGGTCCCTCCCGTGACAAGCTCACGGCAGCCACGGAGCTCAGGGCTCCGCCTGGCCCTCAGCTCGCCTGGCTCTGTGACACTCAGCCGGGGCACAAGGAGCGAGAGGGGGAGCGGAGAGGGCAGCCATCTGTAACCCCAGAAGGATCCCCCCAGCGCTGCCGCCCCGGCAGCTGTTTAACACGCCCCAGGGGGAGGGCAGGAATGGAGGGGGATTCATTAGCTGAGCTGCAGTTCAGCCGAGACCTTTAACAGCCTCGAGAGCGCAGATCTCCCATCCGACCACCCACCGCACCCCTGCTGAGGTGGGGGGGCCAGACAGCAGCACGGCCCCCAATGTCCTGGCAGCAGGAGTCCAGCGGGGGCGCCAAGGTGCTGGCCCCCTCACCAACGCTTCAAGGGATGGACCCGTTTCCCCCCACCAGCCCCCCGTGGGCCGATGATGGAGCGACACTGGGGGGGGTCCTCCGGAGAGAGGATTTGGGGGACCCTGCCGGGGGAGGTATAGGTTGGGGGCTGTGCACAGGTCCCATGGTGCCCCCCACTCACCGGACGTCAGGGAAGTCCCGCACCAGCACCCCCACCTCCATCTGGATGGAGGGCGTGTCCTCCAGCCGCAGGATCTCGGCCAGGTGAGGCACCACTTCATTCAGCCAGGACGAGGTCGAGTTCTGTGGGCAGGGGGCAGTCAGGACAGGGCAGGGGCTAAGGAGAACCCCCCCCACACACACCCCCAACCATGCCACTCAGGGGCTGGCACCAGCAGCGAGACTGAGGGGACAAGCCAGCTGGAGCTCAGGCCCCTCCCCCCGCCCCCGGTCCCCTAGGAGAACCCCAGCAATGGGGCTCAGCCAAGCGGCTGCACAACACCCAGGGCGGCACGGCCCAGCAGGCAGGGCTGGAGGCTGGTGCTAGTCCCGGCTCCGTCACCGCCCCGCTGGGGGAACCGAGCCCCATCACTGCCCTGTGCCGTGCCTCAGTTTCCTCTTCCGCATCTGTTCACACAGGGAACTCCAGTGGACAGGGCTCTGTGTCTGCGCAGCGCCCGGTGCCCCGATCCCGGCACAGCCCTGACACATGGCAACAGGACGTGCTGGGCATCCCGGCTCCACCCTCATTGTTTTACCCCAAGCCAGGCCAGCTGGCACTGCCAGGCTCTACCCTCCACCAGGAACCCCCCTCTGGGCAGCTTGCAGCTCAGACCCCCTGCCCTCTCCCAATCCACTGCCCCAGCTGAGAAATACTGGAGAGTCAGCCCCGGGGGGGGTCCTCACAGGGCCCCCCACACCCTCCCAGCCTCCCCCCGGCTCACCAGCTGGCCGAAGAGCTCCTGCAGCTGGCGGCCTTCGTCCTCCAGCCGGGCCGCCACCTTGCCTCTCATCTTGTTCGAGCTGCAGACGAGCCGGACCTGCAGCAGGGGCCGGACGTACTGGACCAGCACCCACCGGTGCACCTCGTTCACCAGCACCTGCGGGACACAGGGCAGGCTCAGCTGGGCAACCTGCAGGGGAGGGGTGGACTCCGCAGGGGGGCTCTGCTCCCCCCAGCTGGGCCGCCAGGGTGGGGGGGAGCCCCCAGGAATGCTGCTGCGCACTGCGCTGCGGCTATTCCCTGCCCCCAGGGCCCACAGGGGGCGGATCGGGGGCGTGGCCGGAGTGCACTGCGCTGCG